TCTTGAAGTCGTATTCCACTCTGCGGGCACCCAACTTCCACTCCACTCGCTTCCTACTCCAGCTGTCGATCGAACGGGGCATCCCATTCCACTTCGTCTCGACAGGCGGTGTGGTCAACCTGACCGGCCATCCAACCTGCCCCCCTGTTTCGGTACGCAACTATCTGCCTCCGGGAGAACAGGGGTACATCGCGAGCAAATGGGCCAGCGAACGTCTCATCGAGAACGCCGCTGAGGCTTTGCACTTGCGTGGGGTGCACTTACCGGTGGTGTTGCATCGGCCCGCGAGCATCGTCGCCCGACAGCCTGGTACGCACAGCACGTCGGAGACTGAACCGCCAGCCATGGATATCATGCACAACATGGTGCAGTACGCCCGAAGAATGCGATGCTTCCCGGCGACGAAGGGGGTGAACTGGCAGTTTGACTTTGTGGGGGTGGATGCTGTTGCTTCGGGGATACTTGCTTCCGCTTTGGAGGACAAGGATAGGGGTGAAGGGGTGAAGTATGTGCATCATTGTAACGAGCGGAAGCTGTCTCCCAGAGAATTAAAGGAGGAGCTAGAGAAAGAGGCCGGGTGTGTGTTCGAGGAGGTGGAGGTGGGAGAGTGGGTGCGACGAGCCAAGGACTGTGGCATGGATGGGCTGGTAGCGGCCACGTTGGTGGATCTGATGGAGCGGCAGAGGGGGGTGGTTTTTACAGAGATGGGTCTATAGATTGCTGATGGCTGATTCTTGGCTGGTTGTACTGTTTAAGTTATACTCGTAATTGTGGTTCAAACTGCTCATCTAATCTCATCCATATGTTCGGCTCATGCACGTACAGATAAACCCTTCTGCTAGTGTTTTCTACTAGTCGACAGGGATAGTAAGCTTTCGCCCAGGTAAGCCAAAACGAAGAACACAAAAAAAAGAAAGAAAGAAGAGAAGAGAAAATAAAAAATGACAAAGCAGAAGAAAAATAAACGCATTGCAAGACAGAACCCGCCGTGATTATCCAGCATGACATCCATATTCCCGGTGCATTCTATTGATCACTGCACGTACTGAGGTATTGGCAACACGGGCCCTTTCAAGGTTCCAAGTTTCCACGCTTCTCACTTTCGGCTGAGCCTCATCTAACTTAGCTAAACCTTTTGTGGAAGTATCTACTTTCCTTGTTTAGATCTTATCTTACAGGCAATAGCGATAGCACAGACCCTCAATTTGAATCCCGCGTGGCGCATTGCATGGAGCCCGAAGCAATCCGAGCAGTGAGCACGCCGGAGTGTTCAGCCTGCTCAGCTAAGCTTCTCGTGCCGCCCACCGATCCACTCTTCTTTTTCTTGTGCCCGACTTTCCAATGCCAGAATACAAGATATGCTTTCCAGTGTCAGCTTGTTGATATACCACGACAAGCATCCGCGTTCGAGCATGAATCAGCAGTAGACGATGAACCGCATGACCTTGAACATGACATCGTCATGGCAAACCGAGCATTGTCTTCAGACAGATAACTGGTGCATTGGGTAGGTGCATGACTTGGGTATACTTGGGGGCTGAAAGGTGGGTCCCGAAGCCGAGCTGTTTCTCATCGTTCTCATCATTCTCACTAATCCATCCGTTGTATAAAGAGGCTGCACTCCATCGCGGACTCTTGCAAATGCCCAAGCATCCGACTCCCGCTTCGATGGCAACCGATATCCCTGCTTCAGATCCCCGAGAAGAGACCGATGATGTCCAGCTGAATCTTCTCTCTGCTCCCACAAAGGGCAGTCCAATGGCGCCCCTCCACCACGAAATCCCTCTCTCCCAGCCTCCAGGTTCCATCAGCAGAACGACACCCTCCCCATTTGCTTCCCAGAACAACGCCGGCAAAAATGTAAAACTCACAAGCATAGACGACTGGGTACTGGAGGCCGTGGCTCTGGTCGTCTCAGCCGGGAGCATTGTCGCGATTGCCGCGATTCTAAGCCACTTCGATGGTCGGCAGCAACCGGATTGGCCCCGCGTGTCTCTCAACTCGGTGATCTCGTGGCTGAGTACAATCGCCAGCGCGGGTCTTATGTTCGCCCTCACCAACTCCCTGGGGCAGTTGAAGTGGGTATGGTTCGCGCGCCAGAAGAAGCGGCTGTCCGATCTCAAGCCCTTTGACTCGGCCAGTCGTGGGGGGCTGATTGGAAGCTTAGAGCTACTGTGGCTCCTCAAAGGCCGGTGAGTCTGATTCTTGGGGAAAGAAAGAAAGTGCTCTCTTGCTGACCTGCAATCAGTCACTTTGCCGTGCTTGGTAGCCTCACTGCGATACTCGCGATCGGATTCGATCCGTTCATTCAGAACCTCCTTCACTATGTGTCGAGCGCCATCGAATCGCCCTCCCAGGTCTCTCTCCTCGGCGCCACATCCCTATATAACGTTGCTGGTCCAATAATTGGGGGAGATTGTAAGCGCAGTGATTCCCACGAGTAAAAGCCCCATGCTTCACCTCCATTCTGACCAAGACGATTGACAAGTTCATTACGTGGACCCCATCCTCAAAGCCAACGTCTACAGTGCCCTCTTCAATATTGATCCCACCGCCCCCTGGGCCACTCCCCAATATACCTGCCCAACGGGGAACTGCACCTGGGATCCGATATCCACCTTGGCTATGCGGGCCCTCTGCTCCGACGTCACGCCGCATCTCAATCGCACATGCACGGCTACCACCTCGGACATCCAGAACTGCACGGCGCGCCTCGGGGACGATGGACCCACCGCCTGGTACCGCGAAGGCGGATCTACCTCGCAGCCCATGGCGATGGCCGCCGCCGCCAGCACCGAGACCCTGGTGTACACGAACAGCACCTTCCCGGTAATTCAATACGTGCTGGCTGCTGGATCCAACAACGACTCCGAAGCCACCTGGGAGATCGCAGGCAGCATCGACAACCGCACCCGGTTCCTCGCCACGGAGTGTGCGCTCGAGCCGATCGTCCGAAGCGTCCGCGCCGCCGTCTCCTCCGGCACTTACATGGAAACCGTCCTGGCCGAGTGGTCCCCCTACTACTACCCCAACGACTCCAGCATCTTCGAGTTCGCACTGACCCCGTCGAGCGGGAACACGACCTTCGGAATGGGCTACGAAGCCTGGTCCTCTCTCACGTTCTTCGTCTCAACCCTGTTCACCGGATTCGTCTACGCCTCATCAGGGACCTTCGGTTTCGCCGCTGGTTCCACCGCCTCCTACGCGGTCACGGATACGATCGAGGCGATCTTCTACGGCAATTTCAGCACCACCGCCACCTCTCCGGGGATCATGAGCTATAACGCCCGCAACCAGTGCACCGACCAGCTCAGCTGCGCTATGACTAACGTCGCTGCCGCCATGTCCAAGACCATCCGAGATGCGGTGTTCACCAGCAGCAGCAGCCGGACCGGCAATCAAACGACCGGCCACACAATGGTAATGGTCCCGTTTGTCGCGGTGCGCTGGGAGTGGCTCGCGCTTCCGGCGGTGGTGTGGGCGCTGAGCTGTGCGGTGTGGCTCGGGACTGCGGTCCAGACGCGGCGGCTGCATCTGCATACGTGGGGGACGAATCTGTTGCCTCTGCTGTTCTTGTATCGGGGGACGGGGGCGCACGAGAACGAGGATGCGGATGTGGATGCGGATGTAGACCATCCCCGGCACTTGGATCGTCCGACGGCATGGACGACGAGCGCCCTCGACCACGCTGCCGAAAAGCTCCGGGTGAGGCTGGTTACGAATGCGCACGAGGTAGCGTTGCATGATTGATTGGGGTTTTCTTTTCCTGGAGAGGCGTAGTCTGGCCATTATAAGAAGGGGCTAGTAAGACAATAGATATCATAGGCTATGTGTAACAAGGCGTTAACAGAACGAGCTTCGTCTTCGGTACTTTGCTTGCTGGGGCCCCGTCGGAGCAAACGAGCTTTGACCCTCTGGGCTCTGGCCATACGACTACTATATACTACATGCTGGAATCGCCTAAGGACCCTCCAGAGCTTTCCGTCTATACTATCAAGCTATCGATACGGTATAATACATTCTGTCCAGATGGTCAGCTCTAACTTCCAACAGTGATCGCTAACCCAAGTAAGAAAATATTACCAATATGCTTATCTGAAGATGACTCGGAGGGAAGACATCGTTGGGTGGGCGATGAGTTTACGGTGGTGGGGAAGAAAGGCAAGCATCCATCAGGCTCTCCTGGTGAAGTACCCAAGCGTAGTTTGTCGACTCGGTTCAATATGAGATGGTTGTCCGGCCATGGTGTGAATGTCCAAATCTCACGCAGTGGATACAGCGCGGAGTCCTAGCCGAATAAAATATGTTGCCTGCTAGAGGCGGGATGAAACCTCGGTCTGGTGGCTTTAGCACTGCTGAAAGACTATTCCTAGGGCTGCCGTGCTATCTGCTGTTCAATACTATTCTGAATGACACTAAACGGGCAAAACCTCTTCTCTATTGATCGAGGACAATAGATGTTGGGTGAGAAACTGTGGTTTACAGCATTCAAGATAGAAACCATGCTCATGCTATCAGATGCATAAGCAAATTACCACTCCAACAACAACAGGTTGTGTAGTGTAATGGTTAGCACCCAGGATTCTGATTCCTGTAATCCCGGTTCGATCCCGGGCACGACCTCGTCTTGACTCATTTCCACGGTTGTGTAGTGTAATGGTTAGCACCCAGGATTCTGATTCCTGTAATCCCGGTTCGATCCCGGGCACGACCTTTTTGCAATGGTTTTTATTGCGTTATGCGGAACGCGGGTTTCCGCCCGCTCATTATATGTCATCGCCACAGTACACATCAGATACTCCCTGTCGCGGAACAAAACAAAAGAATCACTTCAGAGCCTCTGCTCCTGTGAGATGCCATCCCCATACATCTACTCCGTATCTCGCCACAGCAGCACACCGACCTCTCCTTCTAGCAACCGCATATAAAAGAAAGTCATCAATCATTAATACCCAGAACCGTACATCTATCTATATCTATCTCTATCTTCAATGTAAACCCTACTCCATCCCAACCGGCGCCTCCCCCGCCGCCAAATTACACTGCCGGAACAGCCGCACCTCCCCGTCCCCGAACGCGCCGACCACCGAATGCAGCACGCCGCGGTTGTGGAACAGCACCAGATCCCCCTCCTCCCAGTCGTGCGGATACACGTACTGCGGACTGATGGCCGGGCGCTGCAGCCTGTACACGATGTCGCGGACCTGGCGGAGATCGTCGATGACGGAGCCGTCCTTCCGGTGGATCTTGCGCACGGCGGAGGGGTGGATCTGCAGGGCCGGGCGGCCGGTGACCGGGTTCTTCCACAGCATGGGGAGGATCTGGATCTTGGCCGGGTCGATGGGCGGCAGGTCGGCGGGGGCGAGCTCGCGGTCTTCCGAGTACAGGCCTAGGCCCGTGGGGAGGGCGCGGGCGGGGGACATCCAGATGTAGCTGGTTGCATGGGTCAAGGTTAGTGCGATGGACCGGGGG